TTCTATTTTCGTTCAATTATAACAATATGCCTATACTAATGCAGTCCCTAACAATTCATTTCTTTTTCTGTTTCATCTGAACCAGCACTTTCCTCAATTACAAATCGATTCGAAAAGCGATCACTGGGATTCGAACCGGGTTCACCGCCTTGAAAAGCGAACGCTCTATCCTCTGAGCTGCCTAAATTTTATAAAAATGGCGAAAGAATGGGCCAAGTAGCCCTTATTTACGCAAGACTGCCACTGGTCAGAGAAAACCTGGAATTGTCAGGGAATTTTATTTTGCCTCTTAAAAGCAGGAAATAGTCAGGGAAAATTTCATTTAAAAAAAATAAACTGGAAAACTCCTACATTGCACCTCCAAAATAACCAGTCTCAGATTTGTCAGTAACAGTTATCAGTTATAGAGATTCAAGTTAAATAATTCTAATATCTATTACAATTATTTATTGTAAAAATTTCACATTTTAATGAAACTTCCATTCCTATCCTCATTCAATGATATCTCTTTGATCACAAAATGTAATATTTGACTTTACAAATAAAAAATCAAAGTTGTCTGAAGAAAAATTGCATGATATAGATAAAATATGGTTTGGATTTTCATTGAAGTTTTCTTGATATACCTAAAAAAAGTCATGGAATTTTTTTCCTGAAATTGAGTGGGAACCCTGTAACGGTATGTATTCTTTTAAAGCATATACGCTGGTCCCTAACGAACAAATTAGATTTCTTTACGATATAGCGATTTTAATAAATTTTACTGGTATAATAATCTGTTCATTTTTCTGAAAACTCTGATGGCAATTACTCGAAACTAATAAAGGAACCTAGTGCTGAATTCTCGCCTGTCAGAAAGTACGGAGAGAAAGGCCTCTGCGAGAATAACTTATAAAGTGATGCTATAATTTTTCTCTCCTGGAAAATTGTTGACAGGAGGATGAATTTAAACTTTTTCAACTATTGAAAATAATTAATGAATATTATAATCTCGTACGAAAGTTTATTAATCAGTGCTACGCAAAAAATTTTAAATTATTAATTGCATTCTTTTTTAGTGCTAAAAACTTAAATGCATACATAATTTAAAAATTCTTTCATTGGATTCTTTAGTTTTAGCTAAAAAAAAATATTAACTTTATAAGTTCCTCTTTGCTTTGATTAAAAAAATACAAGATGCCATGTAATTACAACTTTTAATGCATATTTTTAAGAATCTTTGTCAAAAAAAATTAAATTATAAAAATTTACGCATGAAAAGACATGTATTAGTATTTAAGTGAAGAAAGAAATAAAATTAAAAAACTATCAAAATCTACCGTATCTACCGTACAGAAAAAAGCGTGGTTAAAAATATCGAAACGAGTACATTTACCTGTAAGCATATAAACAGAAAAACCACTCATGGTTAGCCCAACAGTGGAAGGATTCTAACTTTTGTCCATTAATGGATCACTGATTAGAGGAAATTATGCAGTCAAATTAAATTCAACTATCTCCTTCAAATATGAATTTCATCTAACTATTTGGTTGACTACAAATTCTGTAAATTTCAATTACGTACTCAATATTAATTTCACCTAAAGGAAGCTTTTAATTTTTGGTTGATTATATACTAATAATTTTTAATTATAAATTGATCACTAAGTTTACCTATTAATTACAATGCACGGATGTTATGAATAACGCAACAAATGGAAAGCTATCATTTTGAAATATAATTATTTCACGTTTGTCTATGATAGTTCAGAATAAAATGCCGACGGGAATTATGAAAGAAGGTACGATTGTTTGATTAATTATGAGTTCAGAAATTAATTTAAAATATCTCTTATATGCTTCGGGGAGCATCTTTGCAAACTGACTCATTAATAAACCAATTGAATTAATAGAGTTGGGAGGAATCTCTAAATACTGATTGCTGATTTTCAAGTTGAGCTGATCTTTGCTATCCAATGGCAATTGCAATCTTACCCAGTGGACCGAATTCAAGTACAGTGTAGTTAGTTGAAGTGATAAATTGCGCTATACTATTACTAGCTGTTAGTTACTGTTTCCCCAGACCTCTAAGCGTTTAATAGATTTGAGCTTAGGACCTTGTTTAACAACGTAATTTTAAAGCAGTCATGATTTAATGACCTTATAAAATGAGCTCCTAAGCATGATTATTAACAGGGGATTATTATTAAGTACTTACAGGGAATTACAACTATAATCTTCTGACCTTTTCGTATCCACTTTGAAAATAATGTACATTGTTATACTAAATAATTGAAGGTGCAAACGTAAAACGAGAAACACATGAAAATATAACTTATTTTATATATTTAATCTAAAACGGAAATGCATTTTGTTGTTTAATTATACTATTATGTAGGTTTTATAAAATGTTATGTAAAAAGTCTTTGCCCATTAGATGCTGATTTATTTATATACCAAGTTCAGAGAATGCGGCCAAATTAAACTGGTAGTAAGTTCTTGGCTAAAGATTATTGGAATTTATTTTAGTAACGTGATACCTACACTAAATACATAGTACTTTATCTTATCAAATTATTTTCTCTTTTCCGGAATAGATAGCAAATATTGTTGCAATCTATTGTGGCATTTATAAGAATAAAGAAAATTCTAGAAGACATTTAAATCGCTATTTTAATTTTTTTTTTTTTTTTTTTTTTTAAGTTAGGCTTAAGCTGGTTGATGAAACCTTACACGGAACAGAAATGTTATTCACAAAAGTGTCCCCTTTTTAAATTCTAGATTAGATAAAAAAAAATTCTAGATTAGATAAAAGATTAGATAAAATTTATTGTGTTTCACAAAATAAACCGTGGAATATGTTTTAATTAGTTTATCTGGTTGCTTCACCTATAATAAGAGTTGGGGAATACGAGATTTTTTTGTATTACGCAGCTTTATGGTACGTATGTGCATATATGGCAACGTTACTTTTAAAAAGTAACGAGTAAAAGTACAAGTATTTTTAAAAAAAGTAACGAGTAAAAAGTAAAAAGTTCTTATTTTCAAAAGTAACGAGTAAAAAGTACAAGTAAAAGTACAAGTACTAAATAAAAAAAGTAACGATTTGAAGGTACATTTCTAGGAAATCGAAAATTCAAAGTAACCTAAAATTTTATTGAATAATATTCTTATGTTCGTTAACGTTTTTGCAAAATTTTTGTTATTTATTTAATTGTTTCTAATTTTGAAAGTTTTGGACATTAATTTATTTTTAAATTCGGAAGAATATTATAATATAATTTTATAATATAATTTTATAATATAATCGAATAATATAATTTTAAAATCAAATATAATTTTAATATAAAACTTTTTATGGATTTGCACGAAAAAGAAATTTTATGTATTGACTTTAATTTTCAGTCTATTACTTTTATTTATTTAAATTACCATTGATTTAAAATTGTTTTACTCTATAGAAACGCGTTTTAAAAGCACAAACATAAACAAAGCAAACACGGGGTTTAAGATAGCTTTGTGATCTTCGAGCTAGTAAAAAATAATTGAATGTACAGTATAAGTTGAAACAGAACAGTCTACAGTTTTATTTGTAACAATGGCTAATGCTGAAGTCATGCGAGAAAATCATTTTCCGAACATTTCTGTCTCACGGAATAATTAAAATTTGTAAACGAATTTTAGTATCAGCGGCTAAATTAATACCTTCGAGTTTTCAAGAGTTAAAATAGTAATTATAATACAAATAGTTCTGAAGTTCTTAGAGATTTGACTGGGCGTTGTTTGACAAGGTCGGGCATAAACATAATTTTAGTAAAAAATGTACTTGGTAAAAATGTATTTAGTAAAAAATGTATTAAGACAAAAATGTATTATTAGTGAGTTCAAAAAGAAAAATGAAGAACGTAAATAACTTGCTAATTAATATTTTTATTCATTTTGCAAAATAATTGCATTTCGAAAGTGGTGTTACTGAGTCTGCTGCGAGAATTTCTCAGAACGTGCTTACCCACGCTGAATAAGCGCTCCACAAGAGCACTAGAAGGTACTGCAGTATTATATTTCACATATAATATTTTTACGATTGGATATCGATTCAAAGTTTATATGCTTTCCATTTTGACATTTGAACTCATGCATGCCATAAATTCTTCTGTCGCTGGTGATTGGCATGATGTTTTAATCTTTAGAAAATTTAAAATCCCTGGTTTTTTTCTGTTACGTTATTAGTTAGCAGGGCGTTCAGCTTGGACAATTCTTTCCAATTTTTTTTAATAGCCTCCTCCCTAGATGTGAATGCATATATATTGCACATTAATTTTATAAATTAAAAAAACATATGCATTTTTTTAATTTTTTTTTTTTTTTTTNTTTACTTTTTTTTTTTTTTTTTTTTTAGAAAGCTTACCGAGTTTTAGAAAAAAGTAACGATTTCATTCTTTCATTCGACATTTCCGTTACAAATACTTGTACTTTTTCCCTAAAAAAGTAACGCAAGTACAAGTAAAAGTACTAAATTTAAAAAGTAACGAAGTACAAGTAAAAGTACGTACTTTTTACTTGTACCGGCGGTACAAGTAACGAAAGTCACAGTGCTGNAATTCTAGTTATCTAACGGTATTAGGTGAAAGCAAATAATAAACGGTTTTTCTCACAGTCTTATTTATGGTTATTTGACTGTTTTGGATAACAATTAAATAAATTGTTATTTAAACATTTTTTCCAAGAAATTTCTAATAGTGTAATAGAAAGTGTGCTCAATATTTTTAATAATATGTTTTATCGTTACATAGGATGATGACTATAGGGCTGATTAACAGAATTGTGATCCATCTATTGCACCGTAACAAGAATTTTGACTCAGTTCTGTTCATAAACATAGAAAATCTAAAGTTCAAATGTTAATTTGAGGTTCAAACCGCATGGACGCTTTGTTGGCTAAGCCAATGGAGTGTGACACTAATAAAAATTTATAGTATATCTTTATTGTAGGATTCTAATCTAACGTGATTTTATTTCAGTTCCTGTTACAATAGAATTGGACACAAATAGTACAGCTGAAGCAATTGGTGGCAAAGTTAACTTAACTTGTCTAGTCACTTCGCATCCTATAGCTGAAGTAAAATGGTTAAAAGATGGTGAATCACTTAATGCTTCGAATGGAAGGATAGAATCAGCCACTACAGAAATAGATGCAGTCACATTTCTCTCCTCCCTTCACTTAGAGAATTTGGAACGATTAGATAATGGAACATATACTTGTCAAGCAATCAATGAATTTACAAATTCTTCTGCTGATCAAGATATTTTGGTTGAAGGTAATATCGCTCTTTTTATTAACACTACGCATACAAACACTACTATACAATAAACATACAATAACCGCTCTTTTGACCGGTTATGGTGTATTTAGTGTTAAGGGTCTGCAAATATAATCCAAAGTTGTGCAATAAGATCGCAAATACTGTTTGATACTGTGAGAATATTGATGCAATTTCAAACAATTTGGGCTGCTAAGTAAGTAGTCATTTATAGGAAAATTACCTAGATCGTAACATATTTCACATTTAAATATTTATCAATCACAAATCGGGGACAATTACATTCAAAATATTTTAATAATAAAATGCAGTTATTCAGCAACTTACATTAATTTTTTAGTATTAATATTTTTGCAGTTTGTTCTAAAAAATTATTGTTTTCGCAAAGTTTGCAAGAGGTACGATTTAGTCGACTAGTTGAAAAGGAAAGTTTTACATTATTTATTCAGTGAGAAAATGTAGTTATAGGTTTAAAAATCTGGACCTATTTTACCTATTCCTTGAAAGATATAATCCATAAATTCATTAATAATTGTAGTCTTATTTCATATGAATCAATCAACCTTTATAAGTTTGACATTGTCATCTTTCTGCAATTAGTGATTCCTTGATAAAAACTAACCTTTGTCATTTATATATTTCTTGGTAGATTACTGTCAATGTAGTTAAAAAGATGAAAACAATTTAGCAGATATAAATAATCTTTAAATATATATATCTGTGTGTATGTGTGTGTGTGTGTGCGTACGTGCGTGCGTGCGTGTGTGTGTGTGTGTGTGTGTCACACAACATATATTATGTACCGCAATGAAAAAATTTTTATAGTCATTTCTTTAAAACCTTTTGTCAAAATATTTCATTCAGGATATGAAGGAAAAATAAAAACGCTATTGAAATTAAAAACACTATTGAAATTTAGCAAATCACTAGTGAGAACGGCGAGACCGAAAACATCAAGACGTGTTTGATTGCTGGAAAAAACGGAAGAAATGAAAGGATAATTAAGAACATCTCCAATTTTCCTTCAGCAATCATCATCAGGTTTTCATCCATTCTTCCTCACAAGTGATTCGACAGACTTCGATTACATTTTTGTTTCTCTCTTGTTTAAATATTAAATTTGGACTCCTACTGTTAATGTTTTTAAAAGTTCATTTTTGATAAGCAGCGACAATTATAGACTACTCTTTTTATACAAAATAATCTACTGAAGTTCTTTTGAATGATAAAAATACATAAACATTTTTTTTTAATTCTGCTTTTTTGAGCGAATAAATCGATCATTGCAGCAAATTATGAGTTCTTTCGTACAAATTTTGACGCTTACAATTAACGAATTTCATATCCGCATTGAGAAAAAGTATGGTGAAAATTAAATGGTAAAGTTCCGTAATTTTCACCGAAGCGCTTTAGTAATGATTTTGGTAAAATTAACTATAAAAAAATTTTTTAGAATTTTTTATTAAATGAGGTAAATGTAGTAAAATTTGTGTAATTCCATCATGATACTTTAGAGCATGGCATAAAAGCCCATATTTCAGTTAAACTTACTTTTCAGTTCTGTATTTTTTACTTAGTGTGTGGTAATAAGAATTAGAATTTTAAAAGCCAGAATTTCCGTTAAACCGTTAACATGTGAACGGAAATATTACTGAATGAATGTTTAAAATACCGCATATTTTGGTTTCATTAACCAAAATTATGGGGGTTTTTTTACCAGTAATGTCATTACCATACAGTAAGTTAACTTTACCATAATTTTTGTGCGAAGTATCAAACCCTAGAAAAAAGATTAACACGCGTTTCATTGGTAAAGTGCATACCTAAATAATTCCTATTGTATAACTGTATTTCTCAGAAATTAAAATTAACTTAATGTCATTAGTTTTAGCAAATGATTGATTTGCTTCATAATTTTTAATTCACTAAGAATAATAATTAGTTTTTACATTTTAAACAATTTACAAACTATTTCCGTAAAATAATTCAACTTCCAAAGTTATTGTTATATCTTAATTTAATCAAAAGAAAATCTTGGTAATTTTTTTTAAAATCTGGACATAACTCGAGATGCGCATTTACGAAAATGGACATAACTATTTTTAAAAATAAACATAGCATTTGATTACGATTTTCAAACTTCTTTTATGAGTTGTTGTTGTTGTAGGCCATTAACGCACTGAGGATGCGATTATTTTTGTTTTTCAGAAGCGCCGTCTGTGGCCAAGAATTCGACTTCTGCCACACCCATGCATCACACCCGTTTATGGGGCGAACCCATTCATACATCCATTCATTCATCCACAGATGGTAATTTTGACCTGAACCAGAGAACGATCAATCTCCAATCCATATTCCCAGAAGCGTAACTTCTTATGGGAACATGGAGGTCTTTGTGACCCGACAGATTTAACGTGCACTAGTCACCATTTACTACGCGAGAAGTAAATGGTGACTAGTTACCTTTTACTTACCCGGCTGGACTCGAACTCCCGTTCTCACGAACTCTTTTATGAGTACTGTTCTTTTTTAATAATAAACTAATGAATCCAAATAAATTCGTAATGTGATATCGCCCATTTGCATAAATCACTTAGATCCTTTTTTTAAGTTTATCTTTCTTTTAAAAAAAAAAAAGACTTTAAAAGTCAACAGCTGTTTTTACAATGTTGCGACGAATGCTATAAATTGATAATAGTGGCAGTAGATTTATGTTGTAAAAATTTCGAGTTTTAAAACTCACTTTATCATTAAGAGTTCTGAAAAGTAACATCTGTAATATGCCTAACTACTCCGACCACGAAGTTCGGAACTTCGTCCCATATTGATTATGCTTTGTGCTTAAATAAGTAAGGAAAAGTAAGCGCGTAATTCCTTCTTTTTTAGTTGTTAAATTTTTGTTGAAAATTGAAAAAGCGCATTTGTTTATTGTGTCTATTTTCGTAAAGACATATTTTGATCTCTCTCTTTATCCATTTTCCTAAATTCCACTTTTCTTTTCGTAAATAGCAGCATTTCGAGCTGTGTCCAGATTTCAAGACTCACCGACGAAGTACTTAAAACTGATAATGACAAAAAGATTTTAAAATATCTTTTTTTTTTTTAAATTTGCTTTTTTTATTGAAATGAGTCACATTAAAATATATTTTCGTGTATCTTTTGAATTGGTTTTGCTAAATTGCTTTGCTTTTAAAAACTAATTTTTTAAAAAAAAATTATAAATATTCGAATGCAAAGCTGTCCTTTCTATAACTGTTGCTGTTTCTTTCTCTTTTTTTACATTCATTTTTTTTTCATTTCATTTCTTTAATTTATTCAAAAACAAATATTTAAAATTGATAATAACAAAACGATATTAAAAAAATTAATAATCATTTGTAATATCGTTTTCTCAAAAAACTGCTGCCTTTTTTGAAAATTATTTTGTGTGACATTAATCACATAGTCACATCAAGATATATTTTGGTGTATAAATAATATTTGGTGTTTTGATTCATCATCTTTTGTCTATTCTATATCTGCTGCTGTTTCTTTCTCTTTTTTACGTTGTTTTTTTTTTTCATTTCGTTTCTTTAATTTATTCAAAAACAAATATTTAAAACTGATAAAACAAAACTGTACCGTTTCTATTTGGATATAATGAATATAAATCAAAACGAATTTAAATTTAGCAAGAACTAAAAATGAATTGTAAAGAACAACCTAACGAAATTAAACTGTAGATATGGCACATGATCTAACAGTGGAAGTACATATTAATAGACGTTGATTAACCCAACACTGAATCAAAAAAAAACACATACCTATTATGTAGTTGATGGAGAGAGGTCACATTTCTAAATCTAAAGAAAACTAAGAGTTCTCTAAAAAAAAGAGTCACTTGTTAGGATGAATACTGTTCGTTTTATTTCATATCAACTCAATGGCGACATCAAAAAAATCACAGGCGGCACCTCTGATGGAGTGTGGTAGTTAGGAGTGACTGGGAATTTTTCGTGGTTTCAACTCAGACTGAACCAAACACAGGAGTGGATGGGAATTAGATCTTTGCCAGAGACATCAGAGCGGGGTTATGGGTACTGTACTTCACCGAAGAGAAAAATCATGATTCGTAGCTCTAACTATGACAGCATCTGGTCAGCAGATAAGCTCAAGAAAGATGCAACAGCTTTACCTCATTCAAAACGTGCACATGGTTGTTGAAAATTAGTCAGCAAAAGTTTCTAATATTGCAATAATAAAATCCAAAAACAATTCTATTCGGGTAGCAGTAAATTCTTCTGTAAAACAAAGAGTGTAGGACTTGAACAAAAACTAAAACGTTGTAGAAAAAAAATCATCTTCGCCAGAAAAAATCAATCAGCAAACATGGCCATCTCAAAAAATTTCTTACCTCAGCGAGGAGAGAAAATAAAAATAAAACTCCGTTAGGCGGAGGGTTGAGAGGATGACCAAGTATCGAATGCTCATAAGCGTTATGCGCTCAGATATTTGGGTATACTATCGCCTACGTCACAGATTGTGTTATTCCTACTAAATTTAACCAGTGAACGGTATTTTCTGTGAGCCTGACATCAAGCCACAAATAAACAAACGGAATGTTCGATCTTTTAAATAGCTGCTCGACAGATTATATTGTATTAAATAGAAAAGTTCGTTTTGTAATAATTGATTTTGTTGTTTCATCTTAGTAAGTTAATGTTTTTAGTAAACATATTTAAAACTCAGTTTATTAATTAAATTAAAAGTTTTTTTTTCTCTTCTGACAACGTGTGACATCAAACCAATTAAACTTAACGGACATCATTCTATAGAATCCATATTTTAAAAAAAATCAATGATTTCAAATCAAATCAAATTAGCGCATGTAAAATATTAAGCAACAACCACTATCTTCCATTCATTTAGCATTGCACGATAGTATATGTTATTCCTACTAAAATTTTCGAAGTGGAAGTAGTTGTGTTTTTTTAATATTATACCCATTTATACTAAAATGCTAGAAAGTAGAAGTTGAATTACTTACTTACTGAAAGTTAAATTACCTAAAATTTACAAGTTGAGGTGATATATTTATTATTTTGCAAGTGTTACGGTTAAGAATATTTTCTCACTCACCGCCTTCACGTGGAGTTGAAAGATACCGCGAGCCAGGTGTTATTCCTGGAAAAAGGGTACGGCTGGAATGCAAAAGGTATCACTGGGGGAGAGTGTCCCAATTGCATTAAAGATAAAGGGGCGAGACTTGAATTGGATCTGGATTTTAAGAAAGGATTTTTTTTTAAATTAGATTGTGACTTAATGTCACAGAAACGATATTAGAAAAATCAATAATTATTTGTAAAATCGTTTTTTTTTTTTTCAAAAAACTGCTGCCTTTTTTTGAATATCGTTTTGAATAAAATGAGTCACTTAGTCACATCAAGATACATTTTGGTGTATAAATATGTTTTGATTCATCAACTTTTAGTAAGTTGCGTTGCATTAAAAAATAATTATTAAGAAAAAATCATAAAAATTTGAATGTGAAGTTTTTCCTTCAATCTATTGTATAAATGTTACTACTTCTTTCTCTTTTTTATGATTTTTTTCTCCTTTCTCAGAGCCTCCTGAAGTAGAATTTTTGCGTGATAATGTTACAGTGACAGATCCAACAACAACAACACTTTACTGGCATGTAAAATATGATGGAAATTTACCTGTTCAGAGATTTCGTCTAGAACGAGAAAACTACGGAGAAGAACCTGTAGTTGCGGTCGATCATGATATTCCAGGGAATATAACGAAATATACTGTAACATCTTTATTGCCTGGAATCACTTATACATTTCGCATATCTGCACAGAATGGTGCTGGTACCAGTGAATATGACTATTTAAATGTTTCCATGCCTGCTGATGGTACGTAACATCTTTTTATCATAAGAGAGTTTAACACTAGGTTGCCTAAAGGAAGTCACTTTGACATTTGCAAAAAATGTACAAATAATAATACATAAATTAATATTTTCTTTCCAAGTGAAGTAAATTTTTTTATTGCTAGTATTTATTAATAACTTGTTATATAACTGTAAATAATATGAAAAATATTAAAAATTAATTAAACATATTTCTTTACACATTAGTCATTCTTTCCCAATCCAGTCATTTTAACTGCTTTTGGGCAATATAGGTATATAATACTAAGTTTCAGTCTTTCTGGTGTTAAAAATATATTTCTTTTTGTAACAAATCTCTTTTAAAAAATTATAATTTCATTTTTAGCTGTAACTTTACAAATTTAAAGAAAGTAGTTTTCAAAATTAAATATAAAATACGTAATATATTTAGATTATTTTAATTAAATGTCCCTCGTGAAAAATTAGGCTTATTAGAAACTCCCAGTTTTTAAAAATGTTCTTCTTACTTCATTGCTATGTAACAAATATTCACTCAATTTTTAAAAAATGCAGTGCGTAAAAATTCAATTGATATTATTCAAGATTCCGTATTTTAATAGTATTGTTAATTTTACTAAGTAAAGAGCTCCCTCGCCAGTCAGTCGTCGGCTTAGGGGGTTATAAAATATAAGGTTACAAACTTTCCTGACCAACGGCATATGTGGTCGGTATTGCTCACAGATAATCTTTACTTTCCAGATAAACTGGTATCCATCGATTTGAAATCGAGTGAACTTTAAGACGGAGATATAAACCCCGGTCTTTCACAATGACAGCAAAGCGCACTGTATTATCACAAATTAAATAAAGATAACTCAGTTTAATTACAAAACAAGCGGTACCAAACAATATAGAATATTTGATTAAATCAATTTAATGGTTTTCAGAAGTTTAGAAAGAAAACTAATTTTCAGTCAGAGTATTAAAGGAGAGAGTAGTATGAAAAGTACTGTCAGATTTTTTTAACTAACTAATAGTGTTTTTTCTTCCTTTTTTACATTAATTTATTTAATATCAAAAATAATTAACGGTGCTTCGTCGTGACAACCCTTAATGTATATTTTTAAAATTTCTGCAAAAAAGGAATTCAAAAAATTATGCATATTGATATTTAATTAAGAGAAAAAGAAAAAATATGTCGACCAATCATTTTCGTGATTATTAAAAGCAACGGAAGCGTTTAAATAAAAAAAACTAGTTTTTTTTTTTTTTTTTTTTTTTTTTTGTCTAGTAGAACTGGAAAGTATTCGGCATTCCCTCAAAATCATTTTTAATCTCTATCTAACTAGTTTTTTATGATTTTAATGTCTTTTTTGCTCCATCCATAATGATTGCTCATTGTTTGAAAATGTTCTGTTATTTCTCATTTAAATATTTAATTGCCGCCCATAACGGGCAAAGTTTTTTCCACTTGCTTTTTTATTGTGATTCTAAAACTACATGTTAAAGGCATCCATTGTGGAAAACCTGCATGCAATTTAATCACTAACAATTTTTAAAGTATCATTTAAATTTATTGCGTCTGAAAATTATGATTTTTATCTAAAAGCTAGTTACTTAGTTCTCCATATTCCTATATTTCTTTCCTTTCACATACTTACAATGCTAAAATAAACTTTTTGCTTTTTAGTTCCTCCAAAAGTATCTTGGGTCCATGTCTTAGCCTCCACAAATGAAACACTTTTATTTGGATGGAGAAGGCCTAACCATGATAACGGTGCTAACATTACTCATTATATAGTTAAACTACATCACCATAATGGTAGCCTTGTAGCAAATAAAACCTTAGATATCAATACACCTGGTCGCAACAATCATATGTATATTTTTGTGAATCTTGATCCGGGAGAGACATATACTTTTCAGGTAAGTTTATTTCCTTTAAAAAAAAAATTTTTTTAAATCTAAGCAAATTTCGAGATTTTTTTAAAGTATTACATCGAGCAAACTTTATAAAATAGAAAAATCTATACTTTATTTGTAGAAAAATGAATACCCGGTTTGAAACTTTGCATAAAATTATTTAAAAAAATGTAAAAAGTATCAATCTGACGATCACAATTCATAAAGTAACGTGAATTAGAGAGATTTCGCATTACGTTACGATTTCCCTTTAACTCTGACTAAAACTATATGAGATACACAGCGTATGCGCGAAAATGTTTTGCGAATCCTATAATCACTAAGGTGTAGAAAACAAATTTAGCGTTAAAGTTAACGTAAGACGAATGTTATGCAAAATCTCTCTATTTTTTTCCTTTCCGCAACCCCTTAAGCAATTGTAGGGTGTCAAAAAACGTCAGTTTTACGTTACACCCGTTAACACTCAAAATTAAACACTCAATTAGTCAGAAAGGGTAAAACCAGAAATTTGAAATTAGAAAAAATGAAATATTTTGTAATTTTTACAAAATATATCATTATTCATCGTTTATTTTCTTGGCCAATGATTAGCATTTAGAAATAATATAAATAATCGCAATGTAATTGACTGTTAACATGACTGCTTATTATTAAGAAGTGTTAGAGAAGAGATCCCAGCAAGTCAGACCCTTTAATTTTTTGAAGAAAAAAAAAGCTAACCCAAAGCATTTCAAAACTAAATAATATTTAAAACTGCAACATGAATTATAACCCTAATCAGATATAATAACTACTAGTACATTGTATCTTGATATTGTAGCTCAAAGGCAGGCAAATATATTTTTTACCCCTATTACCAAGACTGTTACAAAATCCTGATTTCAATAAAAGAGAAGAAAAGCGTAAAAGGGTAAATTTCTCTCGTAAAATTATATTAAAACTAAATGTTCTTACTTATTTATATTTAAATGAAATTATTATTTTATGTTTATCATTTTATGTTTATTATATTATTTTTATTTTACATTATCATTTAACATCCGTTGTTTCATATGTAAATAAATTATTATGTTTATTATTTTATTTTCATTTTACATTATTATATATATTATACTATGTTTTATATTAATTATTTTATACTTCGTTTATATTATTATATTTATTATTTTATATTTATATTTGAATTTTTCTTCAAATTGTAGTTATGAATGTAGTCTTTTTAAATAAGTGAGGCACTTAACTGACCTAAATTTCAATAATATGGCCACTGAGCTCAAGTAATTACTCATCCCTAGAGCGTTTCTAGAGCGGTATTCTCCCAACAGTCCGACTCGAATCCCACCGATGGCTGGTCTGTTCCCTGCTCACACTGATTACAATGCTGACGAAAAATATTCACTGTGGTCGACGGATCATTGATTAGAGTTCCCTTGCCGTTGAGCTAACCGTGGGAGTTTTCGTGATTTTCCTCTCCATGTAACACAAAAGCTAGTTTTTTTTCCCTCAAAAAGTCCTCTATGAAGGCGAGTTTGTCCAAATAATTGTCTTAAGAAATCCTTTGTCTTCTGAGTTGGGTTCCAAATTACAAGGCTATGAAGTTGAAAACTGATATATAGCCAATATGGATCGTCTATTCTGCAGTCAAACTAACTGTTTAAACAGACTAATGGTTTAACGAAAGACTTGCACCAGGAATCAATTCTGCTAAATCCCAGACTTTTATTGTTATTTTTTCTCTTTTGCTTCTTTTAAGCTAAAGCTTTAAAAATTCTGTGAAGTGAAAAATGATAAAAGCATTTCTTGTGCGTGCGATATACTTTTAAATGCAACATATTGTCACGTATCAAATACATGCATATTACTATTAGTGAAAAAATTACTCGCAATTTTGCTCAATTTTTTTAGGTACAGGCCTGCAATATTCTAGGGTGTGGAAATTGGTCTGAGCCGTTAGAAGGTCCAACATCCGACGGAAGTAAGAAAAGCTTGTTGATTCATATTATATTTTACATTATTTTTTTAGTTATAAGTGCATACGGAAAGCCGGCAAAAGAATTAAAATTTAAAACAAGGGATACATTTGGTCAGCCTTGTATGCCAGACAGTTGGAATTATGAATAAATTTTACACATAACTCCCCTTATGCTCTACATGCCCATGTATTTTCATACATTAATCATTCATATTTACAAAGATATAAGCACGTCTTTTGGAAAAAATTGCAGTGATCTTTGTTTATAATCTGCAAAGCTTGAGCACAGTTTGCGATCTTTGCAGAACATTTAATAACATAGAAATCTAAAAATATATTGTATTTCAATTCAAATAATAATCATAATTAAAAGAAATTATTTCAATTTGTATTAGCGTAAGAAACAGAAAAATATTTGTTTGCTTTTTCATCATAATGTAAAAAATTGTAGAATTGGAACCCTTATATTAAACCAGTCGAATACACTGAGAATTCAGGAATCGAATTAATAACATTAATAAATAATCAAGAAATAATCCGCTTACACTAAATAAATATTCATTAGAGACTGAAGCTGTAAAATATTATTTGATTTAGAAACTTTATTCGTTTCAAAAATATGCGAATTGGGAGTAACAGTCGACATGTTTCAAGAGCTCGGACATAGACTCCCATCTAGTATAGCTGTTATTAGATGCATGTTAGCATTATTTTTATCACCTCCAATTCTCAAGATTTTAGATCTCATTCATGTCTGGCAAGTCTTGAAAATGGGCACCTTATTTTGAGACCATCAAACATGTCGACATGTTTCAAGAGCTCGAACATAGACTCCCCTCTAGTATAGCTGTTATTAGATGCATGTTAGCATTATTTTTATCACCTCCAATTCTCAAGATTTTAGATCTCATTCATGTCTGGCAAGTCTTGAGAATGGGCGCCTTATTTTGAGACCATGAAACATGTCGACTGTTATTTCCAATTTGTATTTTTTTGTAGCAAATGTAGTTTTTAATCAATTAATACCCTCTTACTTTGTGGCTGTTTTCTAAAAGTTACACTATTCTATTAAAAAACAAGTCTTTGTGACTCCGACAGACTTAAGTGCACGAGTCACCATTCACACAAAGATTCATCGGCCGTCCAAATTCGAACTCACGTTTTCATGAACATGAGTTACGGAATGCATGAACTTATACAAGTCTAATATTTTACGCTACAGCTTTTTTCACCTTATCCTAAATTTTATGTGCCGTAAAATTATTACATAATTAAGATTCTTTGAATTTTGCCGCAACGCTAGCTTTTGATTAGAATGTTTTAAGTCAATTTTAGCACATGAGTAGAAATACTCAATACGTTATTGTACTATGGAGTCTTGACCTAAAATAATAAATAATTATGAAAGTCCATCATAAAACCCTGATCTTTTGAAGACACTTATCTCATCTACTCCTCAAGGAATAATTTTTCATTTAAGAAGAGGTATGCATTTTAGTGGCGTTACAAGTATTAATGTCATAAATATTTAAATTAAATGTTTTTATCCTTTTGTTCCAATACCTGTTCATGAAGTGTAAATTCCTATGTTCGAACATCTGTTTTTCGAAAGGATCAATTTAGCTTTCAAGACATTTATTAATAATCAAGTCAAATTTGTTTTTTTTCTTCTTTTTACTTAAAAAAAAAACAAGATTCTATGAAAAATTTCATAAAAAAAACTTTTCCTTTCTTTTTTTTCTCCTTTTTCCATTTGCGAAAAATTAGCGATCACTGGATTCTCCTCCTTGGTTTCTAATATATGAGCTAAACTAACAGCTTATCTTTAAAATAAGCATTTCGCAGAACATCGTTCACATTCTCAAAAAAAAAATTTTTTTAAAACATGCAACCAAATGTTTCTAAAACTTAGCTGAAAAGGAAAAGGTTAATTAATCAATAAAAAATAATTTTTGATGTTTTTAATAACAATAAAATAACAATTTTAAAAAACAAGCAATTTTAAAGAAACAATGTGAAACCTAAATTAGTTTGTAATTTAATTTTATTAAAAATTCCTTTATGCAAAAGGTTTTAAGCATGATGTGCAGCATTCTGAAATTAAATTTTATACGCTATACTGTACCCATTTATATAAATAAACGGGCGTGGATTTGGGACTCCAAAAAAAATGTGTATTATAACAAAGTAAGATCTTTGCTAACACTTTTTATACGCTTTCTTCACAGTGCGACGAAATATTTTTCTAGTCAAAAATCATCCGCTTTCCGAGATGAAATTTTGTAACTGGCAAAGAAAATTAGCTAAAATCCGTTTTTCCCCTAAACTTTTTACTTATGTCATTTTTTTCGAAAAGTAATATATTTGGAATCACTTACTATATTGATTTATGCATAATTCGTGTTTTTTTCTTAGTTTTACTCGAATGGCAACAAATTAATTCGATATCGTTCCATATGATTTTATATAGCTTAGTGTGATTTTATGTCAATTATGTTTTATAATTTTATATCAATTGGATATATTCTTCAATTAGTATCCTATATTTTGACGTCATTTTTTGTTTTTGATTTAGATTAATGTTAGATGAGATGTCATACTACTTCGTTACCAAGCCCGCGATGTTTAATACTTAATATTGACAGGGTATCCGCGCACCTGAAAAGTCATGAATTTCAGTATTGAACAAAATTTGTCTTGAAATGTCATGATTTTAACTATTTTTTTTAAAAAATCATAAAAAGTCATGGATTTAGGTGTCCGAAAAATCTAATTTTTGAAATGGAATTTACCCCTTCCCCGGAATTTCGCGGTATTCCGAATGCCTGAATTTGTAACAAAATCCCCACTCACAGTCATATTTGATTAAAATATAAAAAAATTTTATCCGTGTTCTTTAAAAATTGTGGTGGTCTTTCAAAAATGAAAGAAAAAACATTTCTAGAGGAAATTATCTTTTAAACTTCGGATTGCAGAATTTTTGCTATTATTATTTTTTTTTTTTATCAATTTAAAATTCTAGCTGAAGCAAGCCAGTCATTGGCAAATTTTTTNTTTACGCTACTGAAACCGGTCTGTACTTGTTTGTGCATCAATTGGTTGAATTTGACGATCTATAATATAAAGTCGACGATTGGATAAATTAGACGATATATTGTATAAATTAGAGATTTATTAAATCAGGTATTATATTAGTCTATTATAATAGACCAAATTATTAGACACACTGTAGTTTTTTTAATAATTACAGGTGTTGCACGAGTTTATATGCAATACTTTTATATTTAAACATACACGTAATGGGTTTCTATTTAGGAGATTTTTAATACACTTCCTCTTTGTATTTATTTTTAACGTATTGCATTACAATGTTAAACAATTGATACATGAACGTAAACTAGTGTAAACCGGTCACAGCCGAGTAAAAACAATAAATCTCTATAGTATCACCTGATAATTAAGATTTTACATAGAATCTTTTTTATATATATATATATATATATATATATAAAAAAGATTCTATGTAAAATCTTAATTATCAGGTGATACTATAGAGATTTATTGTTTTTACTCGGCTGTGACCGGTTTACACTAGTTTACGTTCATGTATCAATTGTTTAACATTGTAATGCAATACGTTAAAAATAAATACAAAGAGGAAGTGTATTAAAAATCTCCTAAATAGAAACCCATTACGTGTATATTTAAATATAAAAGTATTGCATATAAACTCGTGCAACACCTGTAATTATTAAAAAAACTACAGTGTGTCTAATAATTTGGTCTATTATAATAGACTAATATAATACCTGATTTAATAAATCTCTAATTTATACAATATATCGTCTAATTTATCCAATCGTCGACTTTATATTATAGATCGTCAAATTCAACCAATTGATGCACAAACAAGTACAGACCGGTTTCAGTAGCGTAAAAGCAATTAAACTGTATAGTATCACCTTATAATTAAGATTTTACATAGAATCTTGTAGTACGTTTAATAAATTGGTCAGGAACTGTATATATAAAAGTCTAATATCTAAATAATGATAAAAATAGAATATTTAAAATGTTCAGAACACTTTTAAAAAAACACGATATAATTTTTCTCTATTGCCTATATGAAATTATTTCAAAATTAAATAACTTTCCTTTCATAATTTTTATTACTAAACGAATTTCGATAAGAAATATTATATTATTTTGATAAATTAGAAAAACTGCGCTTGCTCTGAAATATTGAAAAAAAAATTGTTCTTAATTTTGTAGCGAATCGTATTTTAGTAACGAATGAAAAAAAGTACAATTTAAATTTCTTGAAAATTTAAACAGTTTCTAGAAATTTTTTTAAGTAATTTTTGCACTTTTTAAAAGAAAGCTATAACTGATATAGGGTTTTCAATAAATTTCACTTTATAACATAAAACAAAATTTTGTATCAGTTGATAATACCTTACAATAATCGTTCGTCCACAGAAATAGAAAAATCTAAAGAAAGAAAGCGTGTTGAAGAAAACATACTTTTATGGGGGATGTAATCCTATCCTATCCTATACTCCCTAATGCCGCTGTCATTTTTAATTAATCTTCTTTGTTGTTGTTGACGTATGCCTGTTAAGGCAGAGGGGTGCGATTGTTCTTGTTTTCCAGTGGAGCCATCTATGGCCATGAATTCTACTTCGGCCACACCCATACGTCACACCCGTTTATAGGGCGAACCCATTCATACATCCATTCACTCATCCACAGATCATAATTTTGACCTGAATCAGACAACGATCAATCTCCTATCCAGTACCCCCAGAGGTTTTGATTTATTAATCTTCTTTAATAGTACAAAATAAAATGTGTAAGAAACCCAATATCATTCAGAACTTTCTTTGAAAAGGTAAAAAATTTGCTTAGAAAATTGCTAAAAACTTTTTAAATTTTCAGGTTATTCAGATCGGATATTTTTCATTAGTTACTATATACGATTTACTACGAAATGTTTTAGAAAG